TGTATAACCCTATAGCAAAAAAGAAAAAAGAAAAATCCCAATAGGGTAAACTATAGACGAGGAATACTATACAGGCACGCTAGATCCCATCTTTACACGTTTTCCTGCAAATGTAGAGCTATTCTGAAATTATTAATTTTTTTTTACCCGGCGTTTGCCCTAGGCCACGTGTGCTCACCCGAGAGCTGGAAAGTGAGAAATCACCTCCCACGGGGGGTGGCCACGCCGCAAGCCGTTCTCCTAGGATTTTGGGTACACACGTGCTCCGTGTGATTTTTTCAAGGCGCCAGTTCCGGAATTCCAACGGCGCTCAGCCATGTGGGAGTCCAGCAGCGTAACCACCATGCCACCTGCTGCCGCCCCACTTAAACTTTTATTTTTTTTTTGCAGTTGTCGTTTGCTTTTTTTTTAACCGGGGACACCGCATCTGCGCCTCCCGCACAGGCTGTTCTGAGAATTCGATGAGTTACTACGAGCTAAATGCAAGACTCAGTGGTTAGCACATAAACGCAGGGTGTGGTTATTGTGATTTTTCATAAAAGAAGGACTAGAACTTCGGCACTTACAGACTTAATCCGCAACAAGCAGCCGCAGCAGCGCGCAGTTCCCTCGCGGTCTACCCAGCGCAGTTCAGGAGCTCCAGCCAGAGCACCTCCGGCAGGGAACGCGGGCGCGCCTCCGGGGGCGGGGCGAAAGGACGCCGGCGTGGGGCGGGGCGAAGCGACGCCGGCGTGGGCGGAGGTTGTGGCGTCGCCCGGGCTGAGACGCTGTTGCTGTTGCTAGACGACGTGAAGTAGCTCTCGTCACTTCCTCAGCCCGCTGTCTGCCCACTCCCCAGGCCGGAACTCCGCAGCCCAGAGCCGGGATAGGCACGGAGTTGTCTTCCGAGGTCCAGGACAGCGGCCAGCCCGGCGGCGGGAGTCGGGGCCACGCCACCTGCGGGGAAGAACCCGAGCCGAGGCGGGAAGATGGCTGCAGACAAACCTTCAGGTGAGGCGCCGCGCCCGCGCGATGAGGCCCGGGGCACGCGGGGCGCGCAGACCCTGCACGCGGAGCTGCCGGGCCCGGGAAGGGGGCTCGAGCGCGACTTCACTGTGGGCGTTCGTTCTCCCCCAGCCTCTGCCTCGGCTGGACTCTTGATTGAGCTCCGGGCTGGTAGTTTTCCTCTCAGGTGCACAGGAGCGGCTCCTGATCGCTTCTGCGCAGCTCTCGGTAACTCTGGTTTGGAAGCCTGAGTTTATTTTACCGCTTTACAGAATCTTCGACTTCCCAGTGGGAACGGCAGACCGAGGGGAGGTCACCTGGGTGCACACAGCTGCCTGATGTCCCAGGCTCAGGCTGGGATTCACCCGGGCTGTGTGGCCGCTTGAGGATGCCTCTGACCAGCAGCGTCCCGAGGAATGAACTTTGTGAAAAACCACTTAATAAAATAGGCATACAATCGTAGTGTCTCCGTGCTGGTCGGTGCTTTCCGAGATCTTTTGTTAGTAGTACCTTAAGATTCACAACTCTGTGTGATTTTCTTTATGGATTATCCCGCTGATTCCTAGTCTTCCCCCTTAAGACACGTTAAGAATTCTTTTTTGCCCACCTCTGGGACGTTCTAGCGAATGCCTCTTGTAAGAAATTAATGTTCTCTCTGGCATCCAGGTTTTATTGGAAGGAACGGCAGTGCTTAAAAGTAATCAATGCTTTTTTTTTTTTCTTTTTAAACAGCGAATTTAATTTTAAAAATAAGTAAATAAAATCTTAATGTACAGTAGATTATAGTAGGTCCTGATATCGTCAGTTGACAGATGAACTTCTATTTAAAATGAAAGTGAACATGGCTCAGCAGATGGACCAGAAGTTAGGCCAGCTGGAATCCACATTGCCGACTTTGCAGTTCAAGTCCGGGACCCAGTGGTCTGAAAAACACCCTGGTGCCTGTAGGTGTGCCAAGAATTCCAAGAGGAGAATGGAGGAGAAATTGTGGTGGAACCATACCCCCTCCCCCCGGGGGGGGGGTTGATTTTTCAGTCTCTCTCCAACGAATCCATGCGTCCTATAGCAAAAGAGAAAAAAAAAAGAAATTTGGGGGAAAAAGGCAAGCCAATCCTAATTACAAGTACCGATGAATAAAATCATTAGAAGATCTGTTTGATAAACTGGTAAGAAGAAAAACAACAACAAAAGAGGTTAGAAAAAAGTATTAGAATGCTATAGAATTTTTAAGTAGATAAGGAAGGCCTCTGGGTTATGTGAGCAGCAACCTTGAATGAAATGAGAAAGGGAGTCATAAGGAGCCATATGTGATGGGGAGAATGTTACAGGCATAAAGTGTGGCCTGTCCAAAGCTGAACAAGAGGACCATCCATTTATTTTTTAATTTGACCAGAGAGAGACAGAGGGTGAGAATGAGAGAGGGAGGAAGCGAAAAAGCAAGCCACCAGACTCAGGACTTGAACCCTGGTCAGCCATGTGCAAGTGTCCAGCGCCTTAACCACCACACCACCTGCTAGTCCTCTATGATCTTGTTTTTGTTTTAAATGACCCAGGTGAAGATTTAGGATCCTAGGTTTTGGTTCCCATTTAGATTCATCCTTATTGTACCACTTTGTATGTATGTGACCTTGGGCTTTTAAAAAATTTTTTGCTCTAGGGCACATCACATAGGGAGTGAGAGAGGGAGGGGTCAGCGGATGGTGTAATGGTTATGTCACTGGACTCACGTGGTTGACCGGAGTTCGAGTCCCAGACCCAGTGGCTTAAAACTTGCACTGGGTGCGTGTGCGTGCATGCCCAAAATCTCAAGAGGAGAATGGAGAAGGAATTGCTGTGCGGCCATCCCCCTGGGGGATGATTTCTCACTTTCTATCTCTCTGGCTCTCTGTCTCAACGGTGAGCATATGCACCCTGTAGCAAACATCTCTCTTTTAAAAACAAAACAGTACGTGAGAAAGCATTCCCCCAAGGGATGGCCATTCTATAATGCCGTCTCCATGGTCCTATAGGGATTCTGGGCACATGTGCCAGGTGTTTTTGGTTTGGTTTTGTTTTATAAGAGTTTTACCATAGGATACATAAACTCCCCAGAGACAGAGAGAAAGTGAGAGAGGTCATCCCCCAGGGTGGATGGCCATGCCACAGTCACTTCTCCAACAGTTCCCGCTCAGTATTTTGGGTATGCACACACATGTACCTAGCATGATTTTTCAAGCCACCAGGTCCAGGACTTAAACTATGGTTGACCATGTGGGAGTATGAGAGTCCAGTGCTGTAATTACTACACTACCTGCTGGCCCTCAGGAACTTTTTCAAGCTGCTGGCTCTGGGACTCGAACTATACAATTGGCCATGGGGAGTACAGCCACCTTAGCCACCACATCACCAGCTGGCCCGACCTTGGGTAAATTTCTAAGAAGCCTTCCCCCACACCCCAATCCTCAGCTTTGCTAGGTGAAGAATGAGAATAGTATCTATGTTACACGGCAGGTTAAGCATTAAATAAGATCATCTCAGGCCCTGATTCTTTTTTTAAAAAAAATATTAGTTTAATTTAATTTATTTGTTTACTTTTAATTTGACTAGAGAGAGAGGGAAAGTGAGAAAGCAAGCCAGGAGGTCCAGGACTCAAACCACAGTTGGCCATGTGAGAGTGTCCAGCGCCATAACCACCATGCCACCTGCGGCCCCTGATTCTTTTGAAAATATTAGCTAATGCTGCTTTGGTAGTGGTAGGGCAGAGAGGAGAGGCAAATGTGAAAACGTTTAAAGAGTAAAATTGGCAGACTTTGGTGACCAGTTGGGTACAGTAGATGAGTAGAAAGCCAGACTTTTTATAAAAGGTCTTTAAATGAACTCTAATTCATCTGAAAGACTGGAATTCTATAGCTTCCTAATTCACTTACTTCACTGGGTTGTAGCTTTTGAAGACGAACCAAGGTAAAGATATTTTTTAAAAATTTTATTCATTGTCATTATTTTATATTTTTAAAGTTGACCAGAGAGAGGAAATTGAGAAAGCAAGCTGCCAGGTCTGGGACTTGATCCATGGTCAGTCATGTGAAGTCCAGCCACCCTAACTACCAGGCTACCTGTTGGCCCCGGGTTTTTGTTTTTTGTTTTTATTTTCAGAGAGGGATTTTTGCCATAGGGCGCATGCGCTCGCTGGAGAACCAGAGAGAGCCAGAAAGGGAGAAATCACCCCCCACTCCCGGGAGAATCTGCAGTCCCTTCTCCATTTTCCTCTTGGGATTTTGGGCACACACGCCCAGCATGAGTTTTAAGCTTCCAGGACTCGAACGGACATGACCATTACACCATCTGCTAGTCCCAAGATGGCAGCATTTTTATTTAAAATTTTTCTTCACAGGGCCAGCAGGTAGCGTGGTGGTTAAGGCACTGCACTCTCACATGGCTGAGTACTGGACCTGGTGACTTGCTTTCTCACTTTCTTTTCTTTCTTTGGTGAGCACACATATGCTATAGCAAAATTTTAAAGTAATGGTGATAATAAATAAAATTAATCTTTTTTTATCTTGAGTTTTGTTTGTTTGTTTGTTTTTGTTTTTTTTTTTTTTTTTTTTTTTTTTTTTTTTGCGTTAGGTGCATGTGTTTGCCAGAGAGATAGAGACAGAAAGCAAGAAATTATCCCCCAGGGGCATGGCCAACCCACAATCCCTTCTCCACTCTTCTCTCAGGATTTCAGGCACATATGCACAAATGCCCAGTGTGAGTTTCAAACTCCTGGGTCTGGGACTTGAACTATAATCAACCACACGGGAGTCCAGCACTTCAGCCACCTTGCCACCTGCTGACCCCAATAAATCTTTCCTGAGAGAGATTTTTGTTACAGGATGTGTGCGCTCACCAGAGAAACAGAAATCGAGAAATCACCCCCAGGGAAATGGCCAAACTGCAATCCCTTCTCCATTCTCCTCTTGGGATTTTGGGCACTCACGTACATGTGCCCAGTGTGAGTTTTAAGCCGCTGTATCTGGGACTCGAATCACAGTCAAGAACATGGGAGTCCAGTGACGTAACCACTGCGCTGTCTGCTGGTCACCCCAATAAACAATTCTTTCTTCTTTTTTTTGGGAGAGGTTTTTGCTGTAGGGCGCATGCACTCTTCAGAAAGACAGAGAGACAGAAAGCAAGAAATCACCCCCCCCCAGGGGGGATGGCCACACTGCAATCCCTTTTCCTCCATTCTCCTCTCAGGATCTTGGGCATGCACACACATGTACCTGGCGTGAGTTTAAGCCACTGGGTCTGGGACGCGAACCGTGGTCGATTACATGGGAGTCCAGTGACATAGCCATTATGACAACTGCTGGTCCCAGCCCAATAAATAATTCTTAAGAGAGAAAGCTTACTTTCACAAAGGGATCCTCAACATTTTATGACTGTAGCTATTGTTTTCCTTAGCCTCTGCTTTATTTATTTATTTATCTATTTTTTAAAGTTAATTTCTTCTACTAGCAAGAGAAACAAACAGCAGCACAAACAGGCTTCCAATGCTCAGTCTATCTCATACCTCAGCCAGCCCTAGGTTACAGGCCTCACCATCCCCACTGTGCTCAGGGAGGTCCCCAGCTACGAACCCAGAACCTTCCCATGTGGGTCAGCCTTGCAGAGCATCACATTTTAGTACTTCACTACCATGCATCCCCTCCTTAGACCTTCTATATTACTTTTTTCTTTGAGAAAATTTTCTTTTCTTGAACATTATTCATACATACACGTGCGTTAGTATTTAGTAAGAGTAAGAGAGAAGGAGAATGCTGGGGGAATTTCCGAGTGTCTCACCACATCACAGTCATTCCTAGCCCCAGTGTTCTAGCTAGCTAGGACCACAGACGTTTGCTACTGTGCCTAGCTAGTCCGTTTAGATTGGGCCCAGGGGCCAGCAGGTGGTGTGGTTGGTAGGGCGCTGGACTCCCACATGCCCAAATGCGGTTCAAGTCCCAGACCTGGTGGCCTGCTTTCTCACTTTGTTTCTCTCTCTCCCCTCTCTCTGGTGAGTGCACATGCCCTATAGCAAATTTAAAAAGAATAATAATTAATAAAATTAAGTAAATAATTAAAAAGAAAAAAAAATAGATTGGACCAGGAATCCAAGCAGACCTACACAGCCCTAGCCATAGCGCAGCAGTATCCTCCTGCTTGCGCCAGTGGGGCGAGGCCATTGGAGCTGTATTTTGCCAGTCTGTGGTCATCCTCCAATCAGATTTGAGTTGTTGACCTTCTGTTTTGGAATGTCTGTGCTTTCAGTTAACTGTTTCCAGTTTTGAAAAAGCAGAGTGTTTCTTTCCTACTTGGCTCATACCTAAAGGCAATTATTTGCTTAGAAATGAAGTCCATTGGCTTGAAGAGTGTCAAGGCATGTACGTCAAAGAGCTCTGTACGCCTAGAAGGTCAGCCATGCTCCTTAGGCCAGACTAGAAGGAAGGTCAAGCTTATGGATGAGCGGTCATATACTCTTTCGATTGGCAATGGAGACTACTTTTGGACAAGTAAAGATACCTTGTGGAATTATGTGCAGAGTCTGTCTGGTAAGAAGTTAGTTATAAAGAATACATGTTTTTATAACATTTAAAAAACTAATTATGAAAGTTAATATCCGTTCCTTACAGAAAACCTGAAAAGTGTACAAATGTACAAAGAAAGTAAAAAGAGTAATCCTGGGCCAGCAAGGTTGCATGCTGGTTAAGGCAGCTGGATTCTATGTGGCCAGCTGCACAGTTGGAGGCCTGGACCCAGCAGCTTGAAAAACACACTCGCAGGGACCAGCAGATGTTGTAATGGTTATGTTGCTGGATTCCCACACAGTCAACTGAGGTTCAAATCCCGGACCTGGCAATAAAACACACCGGACACGTGTGTGTGCATGCCCAGGATTCTGAGAGGAGAATGGAGAAGAAGGGATTGTAGCACGACCATCCCCCTGGGGAGTGATTTCTCACTATCTGTCTGTCTGTCCGACAAGTGCACACACCCCGTAGCAAAAAAATCTCTCTTAAAAAAAAAATAAAACAAACAAACAAAAACACTGGCACGTGTACATGCATGCCCACAATCCCAAGAGGAGAATGGAAGAGAACGGACTATGGCATGGCCATCCCTCCAGGAGGTGCTTTCTCACTTTCCTTTCTCTCTTTCTTTCTCCAGTAAGTACACTCACCCTATTGCAAGCATTAAAAAAATAATGATCCTGTTGAAGTGCCTTTTTTTTTTTTTAAAAAAGAAAAAGTTCTTAGGACCGGCAGGTAGCATGGTGGTTAAGGCATTGGACACTCCCACATGGCCAACTATGGTTTGAGTCCTGGACCTTGTGACTTGTTTTCTTCCATTGTCTCTCTCTCTCTCTGGTCAAATTAAAATAAATTAAGGAATAAATAAAATTAAAAATATTTAAAAAAAAAGTTTGTTCTAAAGTAGGACAGTGTAGATAAAACAGTCATTGCATGGGCTAGCACTGGGGCACAGTGGTTAAGGGAGCTGGATCCCACATGGCTAATCACGACCCTGGCGGGATGGAGAAGTGGAGGAGAAGGGGTTGCAGCATGACCACGCCCCATGAGGGGATGCTTTCTCCTCCCTCTCTGTTTCTGGTGAGCACATACACCTGGTAAGCACAAAGAAAAGAAAATAACTAAGAATCCTCGGTCTTTCTGGCAAAGGGAATCAAGATAGGGATCTAACATTAACTTAGCATCTAATATTAACTTAAGAGCAATTAGTCCAGGGACCAGCCGATGGCATAATGGTTATGTCAGAGCAATTCGCCCGGGCCCCAGCCGATGGCATAATGGTTATGTCGTTGGACTCCCATGTAGTTGACCACAGTGTGAGTCCTTGACCTGGCAGCTTAAAATTCACACCAGCACATGTGCATGCCCAAAATCCTGAGAGGAGAGTAGAAGAGAAGGGATTGTGTCATGACTATCCCCCCTTGGGGGTGATTTCTTTCTTTCTGTCTCTTTCTCTCCAGTGAAAGCACATGCTCTATAGCCAAAATCTCTCATTTAAAAAAAAAAAAAAAAAAAAACAAGGAGAAACTGGACTGAAGATGTGACTGATTCCAGGACTTGTGCTCTTTTTTGAAGAGAGATTTTTGCTATAGGCATGTGCACTTGCTAGAGAGACAGAGAGACAGTGAGAAGTCACCCCCGGGGGGATAGCCATACCGCATTCCTTTCTTCATTCTCGTCTCGGGATTTTGGACACACATGCACATGGGCTTGGCTTAAGTTTCAAGCCTGATGGGTCCGGAACGCCATCCACAGTTGGCCTTGTGGGAATCCAGTGACGTAACCATCGCGCCATCTGCTGGCCCCAGACTTGTGCCTTTTTTTTTTTTTTTTTGAGAGGTTTTTCGCTATAGGGCGCGTGCGCTCGCCAGACAGAGAGAGACATAGAGACAGAAAGCGAGAAATCACCCCCCAGGGGGGGTGGCCACGCCGCAGTCCTTCCTCCTCCATTCTCCTCTCGGGATCTTGGGCACGCAAGCACATGCGCCCGGCGTGAGTTTTAAGCCACCGGATCCGGGACGCGAACCGCGGTCGACTACGTGGGAGTCCAGCGACATAGCCATTATGCTAACTGCTGGTTCCCCAGACTTGTGCTTTTTAAACTATACCATATTGCCTTCTTAAAAGAGGAAAGTTGGGGGGCTGGCAGGTGGTATGGTGGTTAAAGGCGCTGGACTCCCACATGGCTGACCACGGTTCGCATCCCAGACCTGGTGCCTGGTGACTTGTTTTCTCACTTTCTCTCTTTCTCTCTCTCGGTCTCACTTGGGTCAAAGTAAAAATAATAATAACGGGGACCAGCAGTTAGCGTAATGGCTATGTCGCTGGACTCCCAGTGGTCGACTGCGGTTCACGTCCTGGACCCGGTGGCTTAAAACTCTCGCCAGGCGCATGTGTGTGTGTGCCCAAGATCCTGAGAGGAGAATGGAGGAGAAGGGATTGTGGCGTGGCCATCTCCCCTGGGGGGTGATTTCTCGCTTTCTGTCTCTCTGTCTCTCTCTGTCTGGCGAGCGCACGCGCCCTATAGCAAAAACCTCTCAAAATAATAATAATAACGATAAATAAAATAAAGGAGTTTTTTTTTTTCTTTTTAAAGAGCAAAGTTGGAAATCTTCACTGGTGACTGACTTAGGCCTGGCCAAGGCTTCTCAAAGTCAGCACCACTGACAGCTGGCTCTTTGAGGCTCGTAGGCAGTTATCCAGAAATGCCATGGCGCAGCTGCAGTGGTCCGGGCAGTAGGGTGCCTCTGCAGTACTGGACTGAACGGGCGGCCCAGGTTCAGATCCAGAGTCATCCTACACAAGGCGTTTGTGTTCCTGTGATCCTGGCTGACAGAGTCTGGGGAAGAATTGTAACATAGTGAGGCTCTCCTGAATCTATCAGGTAGCATGGGAAGTTGAAGGTGCTGAATCCCATGTGGCCAGCTTCATGGTTTGATTCCCAGACCTGGCGGCTTAAGAATCACACCGAGCCCCTGTGAGCACATGCCCAAAATCTCAAGAGGAGTGTGGAGACAAGATGGGGGTGCTTTCTCACTTGCTCT